AAAAAAAAAAAAAAAAAAAAGAAGAAAGGAAGGAAGAATTTCATAGATAAATATGTAAGATGACTAAGTTACCAGAAGAAGATGAAGTTGCTAAGAAAATAGAAAGGGACTGAGGAGGTTTTACTACATTTAATCACTAGTTTAAACTCGGTAAACTAATCCCCACAAATTCTCAAGCATCACTATTGAATACTTGACCATTTACAATGTACTGGAAATGTTGATAATCTTGACCTTCTTTTTAAAGTACAGGCAGGCTCATGCCCCCCAAGAAGGTAATCAAACATGAAATCCTTAGGCAGGCAGATATTCTCAATTATGAAGCCTTTATTTGTTAAGGTGAATACACTCTCCCAATTATGGAAATAAATGTGAAAAAGATGGAGTATTAATTTTTAATAAGTATAGGGTCACAACATGTTATTTATCAGAGAAAGACTGGGATTCTTCTTTAACTCTACTCATTTTTTTTTCAGTCTAATAGCTATATACAAAAATGATGAAGAAACTAGGCTGGAAAAATATCAGTTCATCATTTTAATATTTTATCAAAGTGCAGTTAGTTTGGACCAATTGGTAGTACAGTGGCTTAAGCACTGGACTCCCACATGGCTGACTATGGTTTGAGTCCTGGATCCTGAGGCTTGAACAATCACACCTGTCACGTGTGTGTGTCCAAAATCCCCAGAGGATAATGGAGAAGGGATTATGGCATGGCCATGAGGCATGGCCAGCCCCCTTGGGGGGGAGGGGTTATTCCTTACATTCTCTCTCTCTGTCTCAGTCTCCCTCTGGCAAGTGCACACGCTCTTTAGCAAAACCCTTAAAAAAAAAGCAGGAAGTTTTATGTGTATGCATACAGTTCAAAGTATTGCATAGAGAATAATTTTAAAGGATTGTAAATAAAATGAGACTTAAAAGGTTTGAAGAAAAATCCCAATTTATGCGTCTATCCTTAAAAATCTAGTTAATTTAAAATATATATTTTTATTCCCTTAAATATTTAGATAACATCAGTTTTTAATTCTACTTTAAATATGATAAAATATAGTAATTGTACTACTTTGCTCTTGTCTAGTCTTCAAAAATGTGTGTGTGTGTGTGTGTCTGTGTGTGTGTTGCCTTATGAGGACTACTAAGGCTCCTGGAAAGATAAAAGTTACCTTGACTGTTACCTGGAAATCTCTCTTTACACAGAAAGAAATATTTTTAAAAAAATGAGCAATAGAAACATATAAACATGTTAACAAGAATTTTATCCTTAAAAAAATGTTACCGTCTACCAGAAACTGCATATAAGTATTTCATTTTTTTACACCCACTCTTTCAACGTAGGCATTATTTCCCTTTGTAAGAGTTGAGAAATCAGAGACTTAGTAGAAAAACTGTATTTCTCAAGGGGGAATGGGGAATAATTGTAGTTTTAGGGAAAACTTCCTAAGTAGGATTTTCTTGACTATACCATCTATTGCCACTGAGACTTAGCTATCTTAAATAACAGCTTTTTAATCATATCGCATCAACGACCCATCATTTCCACCTCCTCCTTTAGAGGGTCCCTTAGGGGCCAGCAGGTAGTGTGGTAGCTAAGGTGCTGGACTCCCACATGGCCAACAATGGTTTGAGTTCCAGACCTCACAGTTTGCTTTCTCACTTTCCTTCTCTCTCTCTGTGGTGAGCACATGCACCTTAAAGAAAGTTAAAAAAAAATAACAATAAATAAAATTAAATAATCCTTAAAAAGAAGGAAAAAAAAAAGTCCCTGGAGAATCAATGTCAATGCAATGAATCTTCCGAGGTCAGATATAGTCATAAAATTCTCTTCTTAGACTCTATTCATGTTATCTAGCATTGACTAAGTGAGGAAAAACATCAAAGCGACTTTCCTATGGAAAAATTCTTTGCACTTTATAATAGAAACACAAAATGTGAAGGGCTTCTCCCTCATGGAACTAAAAGCAAGGAAGGAGTTTAAAAAGTTCTCTGCTGCATTCTATTAATTTGTTAGTTCTTTCTATGATTTCAAACATTCATAAAGCCCCAATTACTGGATTTAATTTGACAATGCATATTAGCATAATACAATTAGGATCAAAGCCACTATAATTTGTTTTTTACATTGGAATCTCATTTTAAACAAAATACATTGTTTAAATGGACAAGAACTAAGTAAACCTCAAGGGGTCTTTTCACATGGATACAGAGTGATTCCTTTTGAACCACAAACAACCACTAACAAATTTTGTCAGGCTAGGGAAAGGGATATATTGAGCTAATACTACATTGAAATTGTAAGAATATGGAATTTATGTATTTTATTTAAAAAATATTATCTGGGACCAGCAGATAGCCTAATGGTAATGTTGCCAGACTCCCACATGGCCAACTGCAGTTCAAGTCCTGTACCCGGCAGCTTGAAACTCATGACCAGCATATGTGTGTGTGCCCAAAATTCTGAGAGGAGACTGGAAGAGACAGGATTGCAGTGTGGCCAGCCCCCATGAGGGGTGACCTCTCACTTTCTGTCTCTCTGTCTCTCTGGCCAGGGCTATATTCTGCATTGCAAAAATCTCTCAAAAATATTATCAAATGTATCTTTTTTAATATTTTTCCTATCTTTTATTATACGAGCAACCTGCCCAAATTTGAGAGTGAACTCTGTCACACATGAGACTAGGGAGAGTATCTGCCATAGAAAATACTGAGTAATACTTCTCTGCATAAATAGCAATGGTATTAAATATGTTTATCTCTTTTTCTAAAAGAGATAAATTATTATTATGTCATATGTTTAGGCAAACAACATATTAGAGTCAAACATTTATTATCTGACTTCTGCCAGCAAAAGATTTAAAAACAGAAATAGGAAAATGTTTTATTCAATAAACTGTTGCATTTAAAATATCACATTAGGTTGTTAAAAAAGAGTACCTTTGAGATAAGTATATGTCACGCTTATATTTGAGCGAATTTTGTTGAATGTCTCATTATAATGTAATAGTAGGAAAGACTGGCTTTTAAGATTGATTCCTAGATTCCCTAAATCAATAAGGATATTAAGAAGAATCATCAACAGAAAGGAACCGAATCTGTAATACCCTTCATGATTGTGATAGATGTCCTGGACTACTGAGAATATCCGGATATATAATCTCTTATAGGTGTAATATGTACTATAATTGGCACAAAAATACTCCAGAAATGAATTGAAAACCACGAATTTTAACTTCTTGGCAGTACGTAGTTGGCTTGTTCTAAATAAAGACATTATTGTTCAATCCCAGTGATTAGAGATGGATCATTGACTAAGGAAAAGCGATCGCATACTGAGTATAGGATAAAGGAAGGTACTAAGGGGAGAAAAATAACTATGCTCTAAGTCAGGAAGGAGTCGCAAATGTATGAGGCCGAGGGAGAGTAGTTTTTACAATCCAGTTCTGTTTTTCCCTTCCCATCAGGGCCTTGTGGCATTTGATTTCTTAAGGTTAATGTTGCTTACTGTCTGCACAGGATGCAGATCAATAATGGTGTCCCCCCTTGTTCAGAGTTGCCAAAACATCAGGAGACAGCACAGAGCCGATTTTAGTAGCCAGAGCCACAAGTTACAGCTTATATTTTGAAAAACAAAACAAAACCTCCAAGCTTCAAGCTCATGTTCACTGTTCTTTTGTTTCTTTTTCTGAATGGAGAAGAAAAACTGGCCAATTGCCATT